TGTGCTGGGTGGGAGCTCTGGGCCAGCCTGGCAGGGACTGGCTGCAAGAAAACTTCATCAATTGATATTGTTAATTGAAATTTTACTTCTCTTGACTAATGGACTCTTGAGTGAATACTTTCCCGAGCTATGAGTTACTGAGATAAAGCTGCTCTCATAGATGAGCATTTGTTAAAAAATGGATTTAACTGAGCTGCCTTCAAACCACATTAGGCTCTGTAGGAAGGAAGAGGAATAAAAGGGAAATGAGTGAAAATAGGCAGCTCCCTCCCTTTCAGCAGTGCTAACATGCCATGTGGGGTGGGGATTTTCCATCTGTCACTGCAACTGGCCAGACAAGTGGAAGGAGAAATGTGCCTGTTAGAGGGGAGAAAGGAGATCTCCTCTGCCAGAGACAAGTGTGTGCTGCCCACGAGRCAGGGGCTGGCTCAGAGGCTGCAACAGGCTGTGCCAGGGAGAAAGGGGGGCCTGGGCAGCACTGGCTGCTTGGCAAACACACCAGCCTGGAGCTCAGTGAGCCTGAGCTCTCTGGTGTGCAGATGTGCCCTCTTGGGAAGGGACTCATCCCTTGCTGGTTGTTSTGCCAGGGAAGGGGCACTCTGGGCAGGGAGGTCACCCCTCTGGGCAGGGCTGAGCCATTCCCCATCCTTGGAATAGGAGGGGTGTGATTCCCTTGTCCAGAGGTGACAAGGGGCTGATCTCTAATGCAGGGTAAATGCCTGCAGTGGTGGTCAGCTACAATTACAGAGGAACCGAGGAGCTTTTCTCAGAYTCTTTTTTTGTTTCCCAGCTGCTGGAGTTGGGGAGGAATGGAGAACAGCCCCGAGCTGCACCAGAAGATTCTGAGGAGGTGAGTCTTCTGGTATCAGTTTTCTACCTGCAAGCTTGGAACAAGTCCTCAGGGCTGAGAGTGAGCCCTGTGTCTSCTCTTTCCCGTGCTTGCCATGAGCAGAAGCAGCAGCTGAAGGAGATCCTGGAGCGGAGGAGCCACACGGAGCTGTACGAGCACGAGAAGGACCTGGTGTGGAAGATGAGGTATGACATCCGTGAGCAGTACCCACAGGCTCTGGCCAAGCTGCTCATCATCACCAARTGGAACAAGCATGAGGATGTTGCCCAGGTGAGGATGTTGGGGCTGGCAGCAGGGCTCCCTTTTTGATCCATCTTCCAGGGTCCACATTCCTGTGTGGTGTTTGGGAGCCCAGCTGAGCAGGGCGTGTTTGCACAGKTTTTTCAGGGAAACTCCCAACTGTACCACCCGAGGTTTGGTTCTTCTGGGCTCTCTTTGGCCCTGTGGGCTGTCCCAGGTTCATTACTGACCAGCAAGGTCTTCTTTATCCCTTCAAGAAAATGGAGGCAAGGAAAAAAAAATCTGTTTAATTCATGGAGGGAAGGAAAAAAAACTTGGATTGAATATTCTTAAATGAAAGTGAGAGATCAGCCACCTCAAGGGGTCGGGTTTTGACCTGGTATCTGTGAATTTGCCCTGAGGCATCTATAAATAGTGATCCCCCCATAAGGATCTTTCTGCTCTTTCATCAGTAGAACTCCAGATTCATATCCATTGTCCTAAAAACATAAAAATTCCTTTTATGTCTATTTTTTTATTGGTCATTACAGATGATTTCCCTGCTCCAGACCTGGCCAGAGCTGCCTGTCCTGAATGCCTTGGAGCTGCTGGATTTCAGCTTTCCTGACCGTTACGTTGGTTCCTTTGCCATCAATTCCCTGAAGAAGCTGACGTAAGTGCTGTCCCCAGAGAGGGGCTGTGAACAGCTTTTCACAGCTTTTACACTTGTGGCAGCAAAGATAACGTTGTGTTTCATGGTTCCTTTCTGTCCACAGAGATGATGATGTGTTCCAGTACCTGCTGCAGCTTGTGCAGGTGCTCAAGTATGAATCCTACCTGGACTGTGAATTAACCAAGTTCCTGCTGGAAAGGGCATTATCCAACCGCAAGATCGGCCACTTCCTCTTCTGGCATCTGAGGTGAAAAGGAAATGTTTTAGGCTTTGTCTCAGTGATCAAGTGAAACCAGCATTTACTGGTTCCTTCATTGTTCTGTGCAGTGCTGCTTTTTGTCTTGGATGACTGAATCAGAATTATTTCAGGAGGACACAATATAGTTTTTCTGTTCATTTATTTTTGTCTTTTGTGTTTGTAGTGGCGGTGTTTGGATGAGGTTCTGTTTTCAGATTTATATGTATTTGTGAATATACACACACATGCCTGTGAGCTGGAATTTGCTTTGAGCTCCCATGGCCTCCTGCCAGCTCAGAGCCATAAGCTCTGAGCTGTTCTTTCTCCCCAAGTGATGKCCTCAAAGGAGGGCTTGGTGATAGAGTCACCCAGAAAAATGTCTCATCACCTCAAGCCGTGGTTTTCCTCCATCACTTCTGGGGTGGGGGCATTTTTCCTTCCCCATTACACAGAATCTAAACAGCAGCCAAACATCCTCCCCCATCCCTGGTGCTGGTGTGAATGGGAGAATGAGTCACTGTGCACTGAGTCAGCACTGCTTGAACCTTCCTCCCCAGGTCAGAAATGCACGTTCCTGCCGTTTCCCTGAGGTTTGGGCTGATCCTGGAAGCGTACTGCCGGGGCAGCACCCACCACATGAAGGTGCTGATGAAGCAGGTACACATTGCTTTGAGCCATCAGGTTCCTTCCCTCTGGTTTGGGGCCCGTTCTCAGCTGTTGGCTGCTCCAAATTCAAGYTCTCAGTAATGCAGGAAAAGCCTTGGAAGGGCTGTGTTGGTTTTGGAGTATCCTAGACATCCCAGCACGTATGACTCTGCTCATCCCTTACTCACCCACACAGGCTGCACTGTGTGTCTGGAATGGTCTGAAATGTTCAGAGCCCTGCTGTTATTAGATCAGATGGGTGATTTTCTGTTGTGTAGGAGCTGATCACAGCTGGCTGATCAGAGCAGTGCACTCTCAGAGCTGTGTGCACAGAATCCTGGCACTTCCCCCTCTCAAACCTCTCTTACCTGTCCAGGGTCAYTGCACTAAACTCAGACTTGTATCCCAGATGTGCTCACAGGCCAGTGCTGCTGCTTTTCCAGACTGAGCAGCAGTTTTGCATTAGAGCTCCCCAAAAGCATTGAAGGGCTGCCTGGGCTCACCCTCATCCTCACTTTTCCAGCCAGTGCACCTCCCTTCTTCCTTTGGTGCATGGTGTTTTATTTCTGGTGCAGTCATTCCTTGCAATGCATTTGTGCCCAGCAGAGCAGCCACAATTAATTATGGATCTTCCTCAAGCAGATAYTACTAAATTTGTTTTGTTGCAGTGTGTGAAATTGCTACAAGTTGAAGAGAAAGTAAGAGATGCAACCAAGGTTTACATTTTACAGGAGATTTTACTGTTTTTTAAACTTTCTCTAGGAATTTCCTATTTGTTAGCCCTTTTTCATCCCTCCCTTTTTTTCAGGGAGAAGCACTCAACAAGATGAAAGCTCTGAACGACTTTGTGAAAGTGAGTTCTCAGAAGGCCACCAAGCCTCAAACCAAGGAGATGATGCACATGTGCATGAAGCAGGAAACCTACAGGGAGGCCCTKTCCCACCTCCAGTCCCCCCTGAACCCCAACATTATCCTGGCTGAAGTTTGGTAAGGGAGACATCTGCACCTCCTAATTTGGGCCTCAGGCTTTGTTTCACAGTGGAGCAGGGCTTTGGGGTTCTTCCCTTGTGGAAGCCCCAAGTCCCAGCAGCTGGAGTTGCTGTAGGATTGGCAGCTTGGATGGATGATATTTTAATAGATGGAAACTGATGGTAATGTTTTTATTTCCTTTAGTGTGGACCAGTGCACCTTCATGGACTCCAAAATGAAACCACTGTGGATTGTGTTTAATAATGAAGAGACAGGTGGAGGTGGAGTGGGGATCATTTTTAAAAATGGAGATGGTAAGTCTTTATTATGCCTGTGAAAATGTGTCTTTTAGTCTCAAGTATTTACTGGGGTGGGTGGGTCTAGATATGGACCATTAAGGTGTTGTGTAGATGAGGATCTTTAATGTTTTTGGGTGAGTTTTTTGGCAGTAATCTGGAGATACAACAAACTCCCCTCTATATTTCACCTACTTCCCTCTTTCATTAAGATTTGAGTGCAGTGATAACTGGATATCCTTGAACAATAAAAACAACCTGATCTGAGGTCTGAAGGAATTCCAGCAGTCTGAGCTCTGCAGGGCTGGGGKGGCTGCTGCTGTTGGAAGATTTCTGCAGTGCCACTTTGGCTGCCATGGGGAGAGCCTTGGCAGAGTGCAGTGAACTCAGTGCCAGTGAAATGTGTGTGAGTGAAGGTGTCTGCTGTGGTGCTTTGTCCTGGCACTGCCCCTGCAAACCCTGCTCTGTGCTGCTGCTGCTGCTGCTTCCTGGCTCTACCAGCCAGTGACAAATGTGCCAGAGGCTGCAGGGGCAGAGCAAGGAGACTTTGAGAGGTTCTTGTGACCCTTTTTCCTCTGTGCTGCTGCCCAGATCTGCGCCAGGACATGCTGACCCTGCAGATGATCCAGCTGATGGACATCCTGTGGAAGCAGGAGGGCCTGGACCTGAGGTGAGCAGTGTGCAGGGGAGGAATCGGGGGTGAGGCTGTGTTCTCTGCAGGTTCATGTGCAGGGGAGGAATTGGGGGGTGAGGCTGTTCTCTGCAGGCTCCTGTGCAGGGCAGGAATCAGGGGGTGAGGCTGTGTTCTCTGCAGGCTCATGCTCTGCTGCTCTGGGGGCAGCTGGGCAGGTTCTGTGGGCTGGGGAACAGAGCTGCAGAGGAGAAAGGGCACGCAAGGGAAAGTTTAAAAGTCACCACCACCCACTTGAGGGCAGGATTTCAGTGGAAGGGTTTCTTTCATCTCTGCAGGATGACCCCTTATGGCTGCCTCTCCACAGGAGACAAGACGGGGCTGATTGAGGTGGTCATGCACTCGGACACCATCGCCAACATCCAGCTCAACAAGAGCAACATGGTGGCCACGGCCGCCTTCAACAAGGACGCGCTGCTCAACTGGCTCAAATCCAAGAACCCGGGGTGAGTGGGCTCAGCCTGCAGGCCCTGCTTCC